TCCTCCTCCTCCTCCTCCTCCTCCTCCTCCTCCTCTACACAAATCCCACTCCCTCCTACCCATGATGCCATTACCTAGTTGGGTCACAAAACGTCAGCAAGAAAACCACCCAGCTCAGGCAGTTCCTCCCCCCCCCGAAAAAAAAACTTCAGTTGTGCCTTCCTAACTTTCTTTCCCATAAACATCATCAGAGACCCTGGAATTTCTTGCTAGCCCCCTCCCCTCCCCCTCCAAGGGGTTGCAATCTGCCTATCGTGCGACGCCAGAAAAATAACCCTTCGGTCCGGTCCTCTCTCCAGGTTCTGAAAGACCCCAAGGCTACCCAGTACGTCAACGGGATCGGCATCCATTGGTACCTGGATTTTTTGGCCCCCATCGACCTGACGCTGTCCATCACCCATCACCTCTTCCCCAACTATTACCTGATCGCCACCGAGGCCTCCACGGGCTCGTACTTTTGGGAGCCCCGTGTGGTGCTGGGGGGCTGGGACCGCGGCAGCAAGTACAGCCACAGCATCCTGACGGTATTGGGTGGGGGGGCTTTCATCACCATCTGGGGGGGGCTGGGATAAGTGGGAGGGGTGGCGAGACGATGCCGTTTCTCCTTCGTCCCCATCGCAGAATCTCAACAATTACGTCACCGGCTGGACGGACTGGAACCTGGTTTTGGACATGGAAGGAGGCCCCAACTGGAGTAAGAATTACGTGGACAGTCCGGTGATTGTAGACAAGGAGAAGGACATCTTTTACAAGCAGCCGATGTTCTACCACATGGCCCACTTCAGGTGAGTTGAGATTCTGCTTGGAAGTGTCCGTTTCTACATTTCTGTTTGCGTATTTCTGTTCTTCTGTACGCTCTCTGATTCTCTGTTTCTCTGTTTCTTCGCTTTTGGAATCCTACTTTAGAGTAGGATAGAGCTGGAAGGGATCTTGGAGGTCAGCTAGTCCAGCCTCCTGCTTTTCTATACTTCTATATTTCTATTTGTATATTTCTATACTTCTATATACTCCATATTTTTTATTTCTTTACTTCTCTATTTCTGTACTTCTATTTCTCTGTATTTATATACTATATTTCTATTTGTATTTCTATACTTCTATGTACTCCATATTTTTTATTTCTTTACTTCTCTATTTGTGTATTTCTATTTCTGTGTTTATATACTTCTATATATTTCTATTTGTATTTCTATACTTCTATGTACTCCATATTTTTTATTTCTTTACTTCTCTATTTCTCTACTTCTATTTCTGTATTTATATACTTCTATATATTTCTATTTGTATATTTCTATACTTCTATGTACTCCATATTTTTTATTTCTTTATTTCTCTATTTCTCTACTTCTATTTCTGTATTTATATACTTCTATATATTTCTATTTGTATATTTCTATACTTCTATATACTCCATATTTTTTATTTCTTTACTTCTCTATTTCTGTACTTCTATTTCTCTGTAGTTATATATTATATTTTTATTTGTATATTTCTATACTTCTGTATACTCCATATTTTTTAATTCTTTACTTCTCTATTTCTGTACTATTTCTCTGTATTTATGTATTTCTATTTGTATATTTCTATACTTCTATAGTATAGAAATATAGAAATATACAAATAGAAATATAGAGGTATATAAATACAGAGAAATAGACGTACAGAAATAGAGAAGTAAAGAAATAAAAAATATGGAGTATATAGAATCTACATACTCCATATTTTTTATTTCTTTACTTCTCTATTTCTGTACGTCTATTTCTCTGTATTTCTATTTCTATACTTCTATATACTCCATATTTATTTCTTTACTTCTCTATTTCTGTATGTCTATTTCTCTGTATTTATATATTTCTATTTGTATATTTCTATACTTCTATATACTCCATATTTTTTATTTCTTTACTTCTCTATTTCTGTACGTCTATTTTTCTATTTATATACTTCTATATATTTCTATCTGTATATTTCTATACTTCTATATATTCCATATTTTTTTATTTCTTTACTTCTCTTATTTCTGTACGTCTATTTTTGTTTCTCTATACTTCTATATTTCTATTTGTATATTTCTATACTTTTGTCGCTATTTTGCTATTTCTACACCTTACTCTTTGTCAATGCCCACTTCTGTGCCTTTTCCCCTGTGTAGCAAATTCCTCCCGGAGGGAACTCAGCGGATCGAAATCCAGAAAAGCGGATCGTGTAGTTTGGAATTCTCTGCCTTCCTCCGTCCGGATGGATCGGCAGCCGTGGTGGTCCTGAACAGGTGAGGGGCAGGGCATGGGGGGGGGAATGCCATCCCTGTGGGGACCCTTGTGGTGGAAACTGTACCCTCAAAACTGGAGACGTTTCATGACCCAACTAGATAACGTCATCAGTTCTGGTGCCTAACCCTAACCCTGATGATGTCACCTAGTTTGGGTGATATGAAATGTCTGCAAGAAAATGCAACAAGCTCAGATTACGTTCTCCAAAATCTTCCTCTTCGTTTCTGACGTTGCGCCCGGAGTATCCAGACCTCTCTCCCCCGCCCTCCCCTGTTCCTTCTCACGGTGATCCCTCTTCCTTTGCAGATCCTCCAAGGATATTCCTTTTGGGATCTCGGATCCCGGGGTGGGCTACGTGGAGACCATCGCTACGGCCGACTCAATCCAGACGTATCTGTGGCAGCGTCCTATGGAAGAATGAGAAGCCTAGCGCTTTGGGGAGGGGGTGTCAATCAAACCCTCACCCCTTTATTTGCAGGAGGAAGTAGAAAAGAAAAAAAAATAAGGGGAGGGGGAAGGACGGCATCCTGGGGAAGGGTCTGCTGACCTGGCATTAACTAGAGATTGAAAACCCGGGCTGACTCTGTCCTTAAACCTGACAATCTGCTGAATTAACAACTCTCTTTTGTTTTCACGTTCAGAATAAATCTGTTTTTTTTCCTAGCTTGTTGTTTTCTTGGCTGGGGGGGGGGGGTGCAAAGAGGTGTGTGTGTGTGTGTATGTGTGTGTGTGTTAACTTAGGAAGGAAACTTGAGAGACCTTTGATTTTGTCCCTAAGTTTTTTGGCACTTGCGTTCGTCCCCTGGAGCAAAATTATCCGCATCTCTACCTCTTGTTTCTTTGGCTTTTTCTGCAGGAAAATCTGCACAGGTAATCCTCGATTTAGCACAGTGCCTGAAAAAAAAAAGTGATTTACGGCCGGCTCCTCGCCCTTACGACCGTTAACAAGCGTGCGATCCACTTAACAACTTGCGTTAACCACCCCGGCAAAAATTGGGCAAAATGAAATGCAAGTTCCTGAACGATCCTTTGCTTAGCAACGGACGTTCTGGACCCGATCGTGGTCATAAATTGAGGACTACCTGCGCCTCTTGTGGTGGGGAGTTCCACAGGGCAAATTGACCCCCTGGTTCTTCTCTTCTCCGGCCCCCTCCAAGCCCCTCAGAGCATGCAAAAAATAAAATAAAATAAAATAAAGATTGTGGCCTGGCCAAACCACCTCTGCGTCCTCCCCTCTCTCCATCTTCTGAAGCCTCTCCGTTGGGCCACGCTGGCATCTATTTTAACCCGAGTCGGCCTGGGATGGAAGCTGGATTCGCACCCAAGCCACAGCCAGCCTGTCTTGGCACGAGAAGACGGCAGCAGCGTCTTCTGTTCCCTCCTTGCCAAATTCCTGACAGCCACAAAGATGTTGTGGTCGACGCGTTATATTTGAGGCCTCCGTTTTCCCTTCTTCCTGCCAGCTTCACTGTCCTTGCCAGTTTCCACACATTATCCACTCATACCTATCTAGGTATGTATATATATACTGCTCAAAAAAAATAAAGGGAACATTTTACCATGGAACTGAAGGGGTTTGCGTTCCCTTTATTTTTGTGACCAGTATATATATTTGTGTGTGTGTGTGTGTGTGTGTGT